TGAAAAAATATGAGAAAAGGAAAAAAATGGAAACAAAGTCTTTGCAAATAGGGAAGGATGGAGGGGGTGAAGGGAGGGCAGGGGAAGGGGAAAAAAGAAGAACCAAGATACTCATGTAATGGTACAAGATCCCAATGATGAATGTAACTGTATTTTATACCTAAAAAGTACCAATAAACTTAATGGGGGGAAAAAAAAGAACCCTGAATAACTACAAAATTTGCACTTTGGCCTAGGCACTGTGAAATAACAACTAGCCCCAGTTTGCATGGATTTATAAATGGATCAAGTCATCAAAATATATGAAAAAGGCCTCCAGTATATGTGATAATTTTCCCAACTCATACAAAATTATTTGTGTTTACTGTATCTCTGACATTTTGGCAGATGATGTGTTAAAAAATTCACTAAAATTAAAACTTGTGAACTGTACATTAAAAAAAACACTAAAAAGTCATAAGCTGTATTTCTCCAGTTAGTAGATATAAGATGAATATATCACTGGAATGAGATTTTTCAGAGTATTTTTCCTGCTAGTCACAAATTTCATTTGATGAGGTTGTTGTATTTCTCCAGCAAGAAAAGTAACTCTCTGACTATAGGTATGGCTTTTCCCCTAAACTAAAGAAATTGTCAGTGGGTAAGATGTATGCAATGCAATTCTGAATCATAATGAAATTAAGAAGACAGTACTTTTGATGAAAAGAAAAAAAAAATCAGCAAGCAAAAATCAGCCAATGTATAGGCAAGCCAAATACCAAGCGGTTACTCAATACAAAATCTGGAAAGAAGAACAAAGTTTTACACTTTGGACTTATTTGGGATGAAGGCATTCAACTAAAGAAAATAATCTAGGCTTAACAAATGTCCAGAGAAATTTGTTTTTAATCCTGAAAGATAAGAAATAAATGTTTTTTCTATTCTTACTGATTTTAATTGTAAGTAATCACAAAGGAAATATTCTGAATAATAGTATTACATATGATAAATGCTCATTCAGTATCAGACATAGATATTTTTTAAGAATGTTACTTTCTGTATTAGAATAGTGCCTTAATGAAAATCCACTGCCTTCCTAATATGTATAAGGCATTGTGCTAGGTAAGAAGGGAATAAAAATGACTAGACATGACCATTGTTTTCAAAGATTTCATACAGATAATGTCATTTTGTTAATTAGCTTTTCCTTTATTTTTTATTTCCAAAGGTTTTTATGGAATTTTAGATCAGAGCAAACCCCTGAAGTAGAAATTTGCCATTATTAAGGAATTGAGAGCCTAGTATAGCAATGGCAAACCTTTAAAAGACTGAGTGCCCAAAATGCAACCCAAAACCCACTTACTTATTGCAAAGTGCTAACACTATATTTAAACCTGAATACTGAGCTCTTAGTTTAGAATAATCAACCCTTATCCAATGCTGGACTGCTGGGGCAACTTGGCTTGTGTCCCAAAGACAGGGCTCTGCGTGCCCATTGGGGCACTTGTGCCAGAGGTTCACTACCACTGTAGTGTAGTGCTATATTCCTGGCCTTCTGGTCCTTAGCAAGCCATTCATCCTCTCTTGGCTTCAATATCTTTATCCACAAAACAAGAAACCCAAAGATTTTTAGTTTCTGCTTACCACCAGAGTATTTTGTTTATCTGAGCACCTTTTCCAAGTCTTTCCAGTTCTCTTGTCAGTTATTGCTGGCCACAAGTATCTGATACACAAAATCTTAATTAGGAATGGTATGTGTCAGTAATGTAATCTGATAGCAATAAAGACATTTCAACTCTTTAATGACTTTTGTTTTAACTCAAGGTGAAGTTCTTTTTCCAAAATACACAGGGTTGACTTCTTAAGAATTAAATACACTCATTCCTCAGGAATTTGAATGGTCAGGAATAATTACAATTCAATATATGTTATAATGTTATAAATTATTTATCCCAAAGTCTTAAGGACACGCGCAAGCTCTACCCAAACCACTGGGATATCAAACCAACAGTGATGTTGGATGCAATTCCAGGCTGATAGCTTCATGAAAGTATTCAGTGGCTGACACAAACTTTAAGTATTTTTGCCAGAAGGTAGCTTATATAAGTAATAAAATAACAGAAGAAAAAAGACCACAACAGAATTTCTTATAAGTTTCCTCTTAGAATGTTACTTGTTATTGTCTAGTACTTCAGAAAGGAAGAGATAATATTTCACTGGCTGAATTTCTCCTTATGGCAATATTCTCATCTAAGTCCATGATAAGCTATATTTTGCCCTGTACCAAATATTAGAAAAAATACCAGTAAAAAGTATTAACTCAAAATGCCCATCTTGAGAGGTGACAATTGGTACCTCACCCACTTTGACAGAAGGTTTGCCAATTCCCATAATACAGCCTGTACACTTGGAAATAATCCTGCAAACTCAGTTTATGATCTGTTCAATCAAAGCCAGGGAAAATGTTTCTTACAGGTCCTTACTAATATCTATTATCTTCTGTAATCATCACTCCCAGGACTTCCAGGACAGTCACAAGCTGTCTTTTTCTCCTTTTCTGTAACTAGGGACCCTGATGCTCTCAGGGTTAAAATACTCAATAGCTTGCAGCAAACACCTGTCAAAATAAAGGTCTCATGATTATAGGATATTCTAACACCAACTAAGCCTCTACACCTTTCACATAGCTTCTTATCCTCACACTTGCAATTTCAGATTCTATGGAAGAGACAGGCTGATCCATCAGCAAATGGTGAGAGGTAGTTAGGAAGGAAAGCCAAGGTGAACTGAGCAACACTTGGAAAACACACTGCAGCACTCAACAGGTGATACTGATGTGGTAGCAACCAAGTTTGAGACTCGGTGAAAAAAATGTCCTCCTTGTGGGAATCTGAATTGAGGAAAACCTTTAACAGTTCCCAAAGATGTTAACTCTGAGTTTTTTAATGCCATAGCAATGGCTTTTGCTTTTCTTTCCTTGCTTTCTCTCTTTCTTTCTTTTGTTGTTGTTGTTAGGAATTGGTTTTCTTAAGAAAGGAGATTTAATTTTTTAAAAAACATTAATGTCTTCATTTGCCTCTGACTATGAGGCAATATGACACTCGATTTTTAGATCAGGAGAGAAAAATACATCGTTTTAGAAAATTCAATTGGAACTAATGCTCTTGTGTGGTCTAGAAAGGATTAGAACTCTTCTTAATCTAGCGTAAAGAAAAAACATCCTTTGAAGTGACTGACTTCTAAAGTTTCAGGAGAGGAAAGATTGACACCACTCTGCTGCAACTCCCTTCTCCAACCCTCAGAGCATTTCTAGGTCAGGTACTGCATTATTGTAAAGATCACGTAAACTTCCACTCACATTCCCCAGGCAAAGGGATTCCTGCCCCCTACGTTCCCCCTTCTCCTTCTCTGTCCTTGAGACATCATGGGTCTTCCTCATCCAGAACTCCTCTGAGGAAAAGGTTCATGATTTTTACCCTGATGTGCACTTAAATCAACTATTTCCTTCAGAATTTATCATTTTCAGTGTCCTGCATAGTTATGAAGTAAAAAGTTTAATTTCTGATTAAAGAAATTTCAAGAATTAGAAGCAGGAACTGGGAGGGCACAGTGGTCTTCTATGAGCCCACACATGTCAGTTGGGCCCTGCACATTAAAAGCAGGAAGACAAAATTTAAAAAACAAAACAACCAGATAATCATTTTTGCATTTCTGGAAAAAATTTTAAATTGTTAATGATTACTCAGAAATATACTTCCAGCATTTTAAGAAGATTTTCTTTCAGGTATACTCCCTATGATACTCACAACCCTTCAGTGAATTATTTACAAATTAAAATTCCCATTTCATAGATAAGGAATGTGAGGACAAAATATTAAATAGCTTTTAGGACTATTCTGAGAAAACACAAAGTTAAATCAGACAAGATGAGTGAAAAATTTAACAGTCTTTAAAACACCATGGAGTGTAATTTGAGTTAATAAACAATGAAGTAGAAAACTTATAAATAGCATATTATGGAAATAGCACCTCTGAATAGCTTTTCATTCTAGACTGAATTCCAATTTGTCCCATCCCCTGAGACAAAGAGATGAGATTCCTGGTTCTTGCATGTCTGGAGTGCTCTCACCAGGCAGGAGGGAGGACAAGTACACTGTTAGGATCCAGTATGCTGGTGCCAGGACAAAAGTCTTTTTGGTTCAAAGAAGATCCCAGAGAAGGCGACCTCAATATTGAGTGTTGATGATAAAGAAGGTTTTAGCTAAGAGGATAAGGGGTGAAAGAGAAAATCCAGGCAGAACATAAAGTACACAATAATGACTGGTGGTTTGAGACATGTCTCCCATGAAAAAGATCAAAGATTCCCCTAGTTGATGAGATTTTTTTCTTTTCTATTTTTTTTTTGTAGCTTAAAATGAGAAAAACATATATGTGAAAAAAAAAAAAAAAAGGTTCTCGACAGGGCCGACTGCAGCACATTCACTGGCATATTATCTTGGTGGCTGGTGATAGTACCAGGAGTCCAACTGGTACTGGGAGCCCAACACCTTGCTGCTAATGGCCAAGTAAAGAAAGATCCACTCCTCACTATTTTCTGGTTTGGTGTTTCCACTCCCTGCTTCTGGACTCAGTGTGACTAGGAATGTCTCCCGAGTCCCAAGAGTTTCCTAAATTCTCTCTATGCGCCACAGCTTTTTGATTTTTTAAATTCTTTTTGTATGGTTCTTCCTCTGAAATAAAAACTTTCAAAAAATGTAGAGCAAAAACTTATCCATAAAGTGGTGTTTTTCGACTCCTGATGTTTCTACCAAAAAAGAATTAAACTGCCTTTAAAAGTGATTTTCTTAGAAGTGATAAAAAAAATAAATAAATAAAACGGCTCTCCTAAAACAAAGGTAGGATGGTCTAACACGAAGAACTAAAGTACACCTTGAGAACGGAGTTCTGGAAGCAACTAAGTTTAATTTTACAACTCCAATTCTTTAAGACTACAGTTCTAAACAAAGGTAACATGACTTTTCATTTGCTCTTTTTATGGAGATCTCTGTAAATTAATCAAAATGTATGTAAAAACATTTTGACTCCTTAGAATAAAGATCATGTAGATGCATGATTTGTAACTGTGAAGTATCACAACTATTTTCTAGGTTATTTAACTTTCATTGTGGATAAAAATGCATGTAGTTTTGGCACTGATTGCAGTTCTACTGCTTATAATTGCTTTTTGGTTCCAATTAGCTTATAAAATTCTCCCAGTGGAACATTTGGATATTCATAAACGACAATGGAGCAAATAAAACCACATGATATAAGACACAGGATCCTCATAGTTTCGCAAGTTTTATTCTAAAAAGAAAGCACATATAAAGCACTCTATTGTTATAGATACCATAGAAGGAACGGCTTGATTTTATGTTTGCCTATTTCTCTCGCGGCCCTCTACCTCACTGTAGTAAGTATAATCTGTATCTTTTCTAAGAAAATACACTTTCTAACATGAACAGTCTCTTCCATGAAGCATGAAGATGTTTTCTGTAATCACTAAGCTTTTATTATCATATATTGTAACCAAGACTCAAAAGCAACAGGTTTCTCCTCATCAATTAGACGGTATGATCACAATTGTTCTATATGTTGTTCCATTTGGAAAAATCTATGGCTTACACCTGCACTAGGAAATGTACCCTAAATGGCCAATTTCCTATTTTGTATTCATTTCACTTGAAGACAATTTTATAGAGCTTTCAAGGAAAGAGAAAGGACAAAGACAAAGAAGAAAAAAAAGCTGCCAGAATGAATCCCTTCGAAGCAAAGATTTTTACAGCTCAATTGACAATTCATTGTTTGAAAGAAGTTACAATGAAAATGCAGATAGACCACTCATTTCAATAGCATTAGAAATTACTGCTGTTATAATAATAATACAGACTAGACTAATAGCTATTCAAAGAAAGTCCCTGATAGATAGTGGAGGATAATTTGTATTCTCTGGACATAGAGTATCTAGAAAACATGACAGTCTACAATAAAATCTGACTTTCTACACTAATGAGTGAAGTGATTCACTTGAAAATAAAATAGAAGAAAAAAATTTAGAAAGCATAACTTCGTGAAAATTTCAGAACAGGCCAAAGAACTTAACTAGTACAAAACACAGTTTCGAAATTCAAATGCAAAGCCACTGAAACATTCTAGTAAGCATTTTAGATTTTAATCTATAGGTTAAACTCTATTTTTTTTTTTATATACCAGGGATCAAAATCAGGACCTCGTGTGACAGGCAGGCACTGTGCTGCTGAGCTACATCCCCAGCCCTATATATTTTTAATAGGATTTACAAACACTTTTAATAAAAGAAAACTCAAAATATACTATAGTGCCTTCTCTATCCTGATCTCTGACCCTTCCTTAGATCATTGAGGCTATAAGGTTAGACTGAGTTGTCTTGTTTCTGATCCTTCCAATATAAATCACAGACATCAAATACGCAGGAGAAACTTTGAAAGTATTTGGATTGATGGATAGATGAATAAGAACTACTTTTTAATGAACGCTGTTCTAGAATTCCTTTGTGTATTATTAGTTTTATTCTGTATGTAGTGATTTTTGTTACTCTCACTTTGCAAATAATAAAACTGAGGCCCATGGAATAAACCATCTGTCTAAGGTCACTTCTCTGCTAGACAGCAGTCAGTAACACTCAGAAAAAGAAGCTACAACTTCCTAAATTCTAGCAA